GGGAGAGGGTCAGGGGAGGCAGAGCACTTGCCAGGGGAAAGGCCCTGGGGACTCAGAGGGGACGATCAAGGGCTGAGCTGAATCGCCTCAGCCTGTCCTGGTCCCCCACCCTGGCATTTGATCCTCCTTCCCTCTCCAATAGGGGCCTGAAGGGCTTTGCAAAGTATCAGGAATATATGGGGAGATGGATGGGTCCAGCCTTCTCTGCATGCTGCTCCTCTCGTCCTGCCCCGCAAATGCTGGAGCACCCCAGAGCTCAGTCCTGAGCCTTCTCTTCAGTTTCCATCACGTCCAGTCCTAGGAATTTGTATGCCCACAGCTCCCAAAGTTACATCTCCAACCCTGATCCCACACCCCACACCCTAGCTTCCCTCTCCATTTGGGTGTCTAAGCACATCTTCATATTTGTGGAATTCTTTAAATCGCCCGGCTCATTCCCGCCCCGGGGATTTTTGCATTTGCCATTCCCTTTGCAGGAACTGTCTCCCAGCCCTTAGGTGGCAGGGTGTTCCACTGAAGCTGAGAAGAGGCGAGCGTTGCAGAGGAGAGGAAGCCCTGCTAGAATGTGTGTGTATGTGTGTGGTCACACTGCTGTGGGGGAGCCCTGCATCAGCATGAGGAGCGCAACCCCGGGGGACAGGGGTAGTACTGTCAGGAACACTGTCTTCTCACAGGAAGGCTGGGTGAGGCCAGGGGGCAGGCTGCGACCTCGGGAGGGAGCTAGCAAAGCTGAAGTCTCCCTCCCTATCCTGGGAACTAGATGGGCCTTGTGAACAGTAGTCAGAACTGACCACCACCCCAACTTTGTCATCACAGTCATCTAAAACCCAGGTTAAGGATCCCGGGGGCCTGGTATGGAACCTCCCGGCCTCAGACACAGTAGCCCAGGCACTGGCGGGACTGTCAGACACTAAGAGGGTAACAGCAAACCACAGACAGTCATAAGTCACATGGCCTCCAGCACTGCATGGCTGAGGAGAGACCACTCGCAATGTGTCCTACTGAGTCTGGTTGGCTCTGATTGGCTATGTGGAGCATGTGCCCCTCTCTGAGCCAATCAGTTACCCGAGTAACGCAGTGTACTGATTGGTTCAGACTTGGGTCCCACCCACTAGGCTAAGCTGTGGGAAGAGCCGGAGATTGACAGAGGTGAGTCACTAAACACAGAAGTAGTGGGTACCAATGAGGGAACCAGCAGAGACCCATTTTAATTTAAAGGCTCTTCCTGCCTTGCCCCTTCTCCCTTCATCTGAAACCAAGCCTCCTCCTCTCCAATTATTTCCTTATTTTGTGATTTTTATTTTTATCATTATGACTAGTTTTAATAATAACAGCTAACATTTATCCAGGACTTACTGTGTCAAGCACTTAACATTGCTGCCTCCAGTAATCTTTGTAATTACTCGAATGCCATCATTACAATGCCCCATTTTACAGATGAGAAA